TTTGGAATTCAATAAAGACAGTTATCTATTAAGATTAATTTTGATATATAGTCTAGTAGATTAATGATTCTGTTAAACTATCATAATGATCTAATATACATTTCTTTTTATTAAAACAATGTTTTGTGAAGATTTTCATGTTTTATAACTTTCATAAAGAATTGACCATAGTTATGATATGATATTTGTTTTGTCCTTAGATAAGTCAGTCAGTCAGTAACAACGTAGAATTTCGTACGTATGTACATCAGTTCGAGTTGCCACACCACATTAGCACAGAGATGCAGTGGTCGATTCAAATCCCGTAGTGGTAGATGTAGTAAAAGTATAAGCTGTAATCAGAAAAATTAAGGTTTGAAGATGTTATTCAAGGAGTATAATCCAGTGAAATAAATTTGGAAAGAGAAAAAAAAGGGACATGAAGAATTCAGAAGATTAGAATTTGGGAGAACACAAAGAGTGGATGCACCTGCGCCATTGCAAACGATTTTGAGCCATGTCATTCAGGGTCTCTAACCATCGGTTGCTATCATCTCGCGGTCCCCAACCAGGTAGTCTACACCTACCAACATGACTCAGTCACTTGTCAGTGACTTCATGGACTTGTGCCATGTTTTGGTCTGGCCGCCCCTAGCTTTCTTCCAACCTACTCCTATACCACAAAAAATCGCACGTCGAGGCAGTCGGTGGTTGGGCATACGTAACACGTGTCCCAGCCATCTCAACTGATGAAGTTTCACTACTTCATCAATTGATTTGCCATCCTTACCTAGTACCCGTTTCCTAACAACTGCGTTACTTACTCGATGGTCCCAGGATATACGAGCAATATTTCGAAGACACCTATGATCAAATACTAGTAACCTACGAATATCCTCTACTCTTACCGGCCATGTTTCACTGCCATAAAGTAGGACGGAACGAACTGCTGCGCAGTAAACCGTCCTTTGGTTGATAGACGGATATCTCGCCTACGCCATAAATGACGCAAGTTGGCAAAAGCTAGTCGAGCCTTCTGTATCCGTGCTGAGATTTCGTCACACACCAGACCACAAGGGCTGATGAGACTTCCAAGATAAGTGAAGCGGTCGACACGCTCAACTACTTCACTCCCTATCATTAGTTCGGGTGTCGATGCAACCCAATCCTGAAGCAACATTTTGCATTTCGAGGGGGAGAATCGCATCCCGAACATGCTTGCATTGTTGCTTAGAGTGGTCAGAAGACTCTGCATTTTGTCAGCGTCTTCACCAAATAAAACTATGTCATCAGCATATTCTAAGTCAACAAGTGAACCTCCCGGTAGAAGTTCAACCCCTGGAAATTTAGATGAGGAGAGTGTTATCTCTAAAAGTACGTCGACGACAAAGTTGAACAAGAATGGGGAGAGTGGACAGCCCTGACGAACACCACTTGAGGTAATCAATTCTGATGACAGTTCGCCATAAGCTCTCACTCTACCAGTTGTGTTCGAGTAGAGAGCCTTTATAAGGTTAATGTACTTCTTTGGTACTCCTTTCAGTGACAAACACTGCCATAGAACCTCACGATCAACAGAGTCGAATGCCGCCTTAAGGTCGAGAAATACTACCATTGTGGGGCGTCTGAATGTGTGTCTGTGTTCTAGAACCTGACGTAGTGTGAATATCTGATCTATACAACCACGTCCAGGTCGAAAACCAGCCTGGTTTTCTCTAGTCTGCTCTTCACGAGCTTTGTTAGGCGTCGAAGTATTATTGAAGCTAATATTTTAGACACTATATTAGTCAAACTGATTCCTCTGTGATTGTCACAAGAGGACTTTTGTCCTTTCTTAAAAACTGGCACAATCAGTGATTGAGACCAGTCAGATGGGATTACGTCCAGTTCCCAAATTCTACCTAAGACCTCAGTTAATCTCATTGCTAATACTGGACCACCATCCTTAAAAATCTCAGGAGTAAACCTGTCAGGGCCTGCTGCTCTCCCTCGTTTCAGATTTCCTATGGCTTTTTCAACTTCGTAAAGAGACGGAGGACCTACATTAACTTGCCATTCAGGTTGACTGGAGATCGTGGGAAACCGAAGTGTGGCTGAAGGCCAGTTGAACTGATCCCTAAAGTGTTCTGCCCATCGATCCAATCTCCTGGATTGAGAATGAATAATATGTCCATCTTTCTCTGAGATTGTTTCGCTAACGGTCGGTTTCCTAATTCCGGTTTCCTTAACGAGTCTGAACAATTGTCTGCTATTACCTATTGCCGCTGCCTTTTCCATCTCTCTTGCTTTCGCTACCCACCACTGTTCACGATCATTGCGTAGACTTCTTGTCAGCTTGCGCTTAAGCTGACTCCGCTCTTCATTATGTTCAGAGCCAGGTGGAATGAGTTTCCGAGCATCTATCAGTGCGATAGATGCTGCTGAGATCCAGTGTTGCTCCCTAACCTTCTGGTTTACCTTACTAGCAGATATCACTGCTGTTTCCACAGCTTTTCGGATATCATTCCATGCTGCATCGGGGTGGGCATCACATACATGGCTGCCTAACTGTTTTCCTAGTTGTTCCTGAAATATACTCTTAGCTTGACTATCATTAAGTAGGCCCTAAGAGGTTTCCTTGCAGCGTCTTTCCTACGTCCAGTAAGACGCAAGCAAATACGCGCTCGCACTAGAGCATGATCTGAATCTAGGCATGTGCTCCAGAATGAGCGACAGTCTTCTATCGAGCCCCTCCATCGGTGGCTGATAGCGATGTGATCTATTTGGGTCCAACGTTGGGACGAATTAGGGGGTCGCCATGTTAAAAGATGTTTTTCCTTATGCTTAAAGTTAGTATTTGCAAGGAACAGGCGGTTATCTGAGCATAGCTGCAACAGACGGTCGCCATTATCTGTTCTTTGAGCCACGACACCATAAGATCCACCTAGGTGTCTTTCCCTATCGCTTAGTTTACCTACTTGAGCATTAAAGTCACCGGCCACTATTACTACATCCGAGCGCCTAGCTTTTCGGAGAAGGTCGAAAGCTTTCTGTAAAACTCATCTTTTACATCATCTGAGCTGCAGTCAGTGGGAGAATAGGCAGAGACGACGAAGAGGCAACGACGAGTGTCCCTATCTTTCCGGATTCTTACTGTTCCGTTCAGTCGGACAGCGCACAAACGACTGTCTACTGGGATCCACTCTAAGAGAGCTAGTTCTGCCCTAGGACTCAATGCTATACCTACGCCGGCGAGGCCACGGGAAGCAGAATCAGGGCTTCCAGATACACGAAGCGTAAATCGAGTCGGTTCTTTATTTTGGCATGGTGAGGTCAAATGAATGACGCTACTCGGATCCTGTATGCGCGTTTCGGAGACGCAGCACACATCGATGGCGCGAGATTCTAAAGTCCTAGCTAAGGAAGCCTGCTGTCCTATTTGGCACAGTGTTCGTACGTTAAAAGCTCCTACGTGTAGTTTAGAGCGTGGTTTCAGGAGACCAGGAATGGCGTTCCACGTACTCGAATCGTTTGCCCTAGCGGTGCGAGGTGATAAAGAGACGTGAGGAGGGTTAGTCATGGAGATAAGAGAGGTATTAGGAGGTGTAGGAAGGATTTGAATGTGACCAACTTGGTCTCGTGTGCTGTTACGGGTATGAGGGCTGATGTCACTTCCCGGCTGCCCACACCGTGGAAGGGTATTTCTTGAGGAACCTGAAAAGGAAATTGGATTAGTGTTGGTCTTGACGACCTGGGAGCGTGACCGCAGAGCCCAAGGGACAACTGCTTGAGGCCGGTCGCGCACGGCCTTTTTGTGGAAGGTTTTTGACGTGTTAGCTCCGTTCTTCAAAGGGCCTTACCGCCGGAGACGGAAATCCGTGAGGTAAGGTGAGGTGTGACATTTTTAGGGTCGACCTTTTCTAACCCCACCCCTCCTTGTGGGAAGGCAGCATCGCTGTCATGCTGGTTGTCCGAGGGAAACACCTTACTGCTGTCACACCCTCTACAGTCAGCAGTACGACTTCGCCCTCAGACCTTGAGTTGCTGCTTTTAGTCTTACCGTTCTCCAATCGACCTGCCTGGCATGGTAGAACCTACAGGAACATATGTTCCAGCCAATATAGCTCGGTTGGGTCATCACGATAGGCAAGCCCGACCACCACGTCAAGTTAGCAGCTTCGGTCGGGTTTGTCCTTAGATAAGATTTATCATTGGTGTTTATTTGCAACCGATGGTTAGAGACCCTGAATGACATGGCTCAAATCGTTTGCGATGGCGCAGGTGCATCCACTCTCTGTGTTCTCTCAAATTCTAATCTTCTGAATCCTTCATGTCCCTTTTTTCCTCTTTCCAAATTTATTTCACTGGATTATACTCTTTAAATAACATCTCCAAACCCTAATCTTTCCGATTACTGCTTATACTCTTACCGCCTATACCACTACGGGATTTGAATCGACCACTGCATCTCTATGCTAATGTGGTGTGGCAACTCAAACTGATGTATGTACGTACGAAGTTTTACGTTGTTACTGACTGATTTACAACTTGATCAGATTATCTAATTAAATCTCCGTTCTGTATTTAAACTATGAATATCAATAATTTCTATAAACTCCTTCTCACTAATAATAATCATGTATTCAGTGGTTACTAATTTTGAAACATTATTCTTTGAGTTCTACTGTGAAGACATGACCAATAGAGTTCATACATATCGGAAATAAGAAAAAATATATCTATCATAAATGACAACACATAATAATTATGTAATATTATGGGGTTACTGAAGATAAGAATGTAAAACATTAAATATTCCCAACTATTCTTTCTGGAATTATTCACATATTCTCATTACTCTTCCTCCTCCTCCTCCTCCTTCTTCTCCTCTTACTACTACTACTACTACTACTACTACTACTACTACTACTACTACTACTACTATTACTACTATTACTACTACTACTACTACTACTAATAATAATAATAATAATAATATACTTTTTTTAAGTTTAATATTCTTTTTATTATTATTTGTTTAGTTATATCTTGGTATTGTTTTACTCGCTGTTGTTGTTATTACTGGATGTTTTTCATATTATCAAGAATCAAAATCATCGCGTATTATGGATTCATTTAAAAATTTAGTTCCACAAGTAAGAAAGTTTATTTATTTATTTATTTCATTATATAAATATTGTTACAAGAAGGCACTAAATAGATATACGTCACATAAATCATTCGATTTGTGTGAGGGCTTGGATACTGTCTGTGTACCTAAACCGAAACAGGTGGTTTACATAGGGGACCACATCCGGAGCCTTTGACCTAAAGGTCTAATCCACAAGGCAGTGCAGCCACATGATAGCCGCTGATCAACGATTGGTTCATATGCCATTTGTTCCTTCAGGATCCTGGAACCCATGTACAACATTGGTTTGTAATAAGGGTTTTCCAACTACCCTAGGTAAACTCTCCGTGTCCACCAATCCGGTTAAAGCAGTGGATATTCGCTTTTTGTCTTCTCGATTTCGTAAACAATATACATGGTGCGAGAAGTCAGTGAGTAGAACTTCCCTGACAGTGGTTGTATGCACATGGTCCTTTGCTAGGGAGAGCTGACTCTCCCCACTCTCGGTCGCAACACGGTATTTAGATGATAATTATGTTGTATTCTATGAAATGAATGATTTGATTGTTGATAAAACTACATTTTAATTCTGTACAAAATTATTAAATGTAAATCATTAGAGATCATAGAATAAAGTGTCAAACAGACAACTAGTTTTAAAGTAATGAGCAATGAAAACTTGACCATATTATTAGTGAAATACACATTACTTATGTTAATTTATTATAATTGTGCAGTATCAAAAATTAACTCATGGGCTATTTGATGTAAATGTAGTGTTTTTAGTTTAAAGTTGAGTAATTATTTTAACACACGAAGATCAGATTTCAACCCATGATATAGTCGTATGTACACATTGATGAAGAATCTGGTACAAAGGATCAAGTAGCTACGTATAATAAAACTAAACAGTTTTGTAACAGTTGTCTAATTAAATTTACCAATTAAAGTAAATCATCGTTAAACACCATTGAAATAATGCCAAATCCTTCTGTTCTATTGATTTTAAGTGGTGAAAAAAACACTAAGTTAAACTAATCTATAAGGACAGTTAAACAAAACAAATGAATATTCACTAGTATTCAAAGAAAATATTACTTACAACTTACCTACGCCTGTTACTCTCAATGGAGCATAGGCCACCGAACAGCATTCTCCAACCCAGTCTGTCCTCGGACTTCCTTTCTACTTCTATCCAATTCATGTTCATTCTTCTCATGTCTGTCTCCATTTCTCGGCATAGTGTGTCCTTTGTTCCTCCTCTTCTTCTTTGCACTCAAGGATGCCATGTGATGAGTGCTTCCGTTGTGACGCAGTTCGGTGCTTTCCTCAACGTGTGTCTTATTCACTTCCAGAACTTCTTCCTGATTTCTTCCTGCAATCGAATCTGGTTTGTTCTCTCCCACAGTAGGCTGTTGCCGATAGTGTCTTGCTAACCGATCCGAAGTATTTTGTGTCGACAACTGTTAATAGACACTTGTATGTTCTGGATGATGACTTTCGTAATTCTGCAAGATTCCACTCCATACAGTAGAACTGTCTTGACATTTGTATTGAAAATTCTGTAAAAGAAAATATTGATGAAATCAAACCATTATACCATTTCAAAAATCAGAATAGATGATTCAATTTTTTAATACAATTTGATAATGATTATTCGTGTCACCAGTGCTTATCCACGATCCCGCTCATGTGATTCGAACCCAGGACCTCCGGTCTCGCTGTGACCAGTGGAGTTCAACCGGGTCTGTTGTGAGGTGGTTATTCACAGAAGACAATGGTGGACGGTGTTGTAATTTCGTGAATTGATTGAAGTTAGACTTTAACACAGTTGGATGCGGTCTCGGTAGTCTAGAGGTTAAGCACCTGCGCGCGAGACCGAAGGTCCTGGGTTCAAATCCCGCGTACGAGATCATGAGTGCACACTGCTGAAAAGTACCATACTAGGACGAACTGGCCGTCCAGTGTTTCCAGGTTTTCCATGGTGGTCCAGCTTTAATTGACTCATGAACTCAACTATGAACTTTTATTTGCCAAGTGATGTTCATCAGGTTTTCTTACTTTCAAAACTTTGTTTTCGTTAAAAATATTTTTTTAGAGGTAGGAATTTCACCTACTGATCATCCAAGAACGACTTTCTACCTAGAGACTTCTTTATTGATTTAGAGTATACCGACAATCTAGTTGTGTTTCGATGATAACTGACTAAATACAGAGTTTTCTGAACTCAAATTGATAAATAAAGAATATTGCAGGTGAATTTCTTTCCTTCTCTATCTAAATACAAAAAAAAAAGCTATCCGAACGTTTTTCCAACCTATTTACCCAATTTCCAAACCATATTAACTATTGTACGTGAGCTTCTAACGAATCTCTACTTAGTAATAAATAGCAAACCTAACCTTGAAATACTTAAACTTTCTGTAATAAAGTCGGTATGAAGAATATATATACTACTTAGAGGCTAGTTAGGAAACTCTGAATCTGGGTTTGATTTTAGTTCGTACTGATTCACAAAACATACAACCTTCAATTAACTTATGAACATTATGGTATTTAAATATTCGTTACTTAGATTCACAGTCCAGTAAGCTACCACTAAAATATTCAGGTGGCAAGTTAGCAGTAAAATATATTGCATGCAATGTCGAATCATTTAAACATGATCGATAGGTTTCTGTCAATTATCATTGAAAACTAGGCAAACATGATGCCTTTTGGTGAAGTTTTGTTCTCTGAGCTCGATGATTTAGTCGTGAAGCTTTCATCTGAACTCTATCATCTGCACAAAATTCAAGCAGTAGTCTACTTCACCAAATCATCCACCTGAGCTACAAATCTTCTCCATCTCGAACATGATGCTCGTCGTCGTTTAATGAATGATCGATGTATTAATATGGAAGTAATTACAAGCCATTACAATTTCAGACAAAAGTGATGACATACAACAGTGAGATTTAAAACAAGTATGTTAACGACTTCTAACCGAAAGAGGTTTTGTAAAGACTGATTTAATTTACGAGCTGTATTTACCATAGGTTGACTTCAGTTAAGGAATCAGTTTAAACTAAAGGATACTAAGAATCTGTCCAGTAACAGTATAGGACTATTCAGTAGTGTACACCCACAACCCCACTAAGCATTGAATCCAGCACCTTCAAGTCTCAACCACTAAAACCAGTGGGTCATTGTCCATTAGTATGATATCAGCTTCAATCAATTTACAATATGGTACGATAATTATCTACTCCCATAGGTAAAAACTGTTTCATTAATAACATTTCTGAAATCTAATAGTCATGAGATCTCACTAGAACACCATGAAGTAAGTAACTAGTGGAATGATAATCATGACTCTAGTTCGAAAAAATCTTATGAAAGTTAGTTAGATTTATCATCTGTACTCATCTCTTTAGAGGATTGTAAAATACAAAATCACTTGACATAATATTTATATTCAGTATTTTCAGTAGTAATAACACTTTTCTTTTATCATTTGTTATTTTATCATAATGTAATGTTATACAAAAACTTTCAGACTGCACTTGTCATACGAGATGGTTTAAAAACTGAAGTACCAGCAGAAAGTATAGTTGTTGGTGATATAGTTGAAGTGAAATTTGGTGACCGTATTCCAGCTGATATAAGAATTATTACTGCAAGTTCATTTAAAGTAAGTAAATATATATTGAATTCATGTTTATTAAGATCATCAACCGATTGGTGTTAGATCACCATGAAAAACCTGGAACTACTGAACGGCCATTTCATCCTATTATGGGACTCCTCAGCAGTGCGCATCCACGATCCCACTCGCGGGATTCGAACACAGGGCTTTCGGTCTACCGCGTGAACGCTTAACCTCTAGACCATGGAGCCGTCATCCAATGGCGTTAATATCTAACCTCAACCAATCCAAGAAATATCTGTCTCTCCCCGACACGGATTAGCTCCACTGGTCACGGCTTTCATCCATTTTGATTAGAAAATTTAGCGATAAACACAAAGACAACTGTATCAGTTAGGGTTTAATTGTTTTGATTAATACAACTATGTAATAATGTTTCTTTATGACTAATATATGTGATAAATCAGATGAGTTAACAGTTCGATTTATAGATTAATTCTCAAATGTTAATTCATTTATAACCTCAACCGATTCATGATCTCAATCACAAAAAAACTTAATAATCTCCACAACCTCATACTGATAATTATCATGTTCCCACTAGTGATTAGCTTCGTGTGGGAATTCTCGGAGTTCTAGTGAGAAGCTGCGACCAGTGGAGCTAATCTGTGCCGGGTAGAGACAGGTATCTAACTCAATACAATAGAAAATGGTCACGCAATTCCATGGATTGGTTGACATTGGACATTAATATCGTTGGATGCCAACTCAATGGTCTAGAGGTTAGGCGTTCGCGTAAAAGACCAAAGGCCCTAAGTTCGAATACCGCGAGTGGGATCGTGGATGCGCACTGCTGAGGAGTCCCACAACAGGATGAAACCGCTGTCCAGTACTTCCAGGTTTTCAATGGTAATCTAACATCCATCGTTTTATGATCTCAATCAACAACTTGATAACCTCTATAACCCCATACTCCGAAATGTTTTCTTCGATTTTAATATCCTGGATTCCCATATCATCTGTTTATTTTACTAACCCAAGTTAATCCAAAAGAACATTATTAAAAATCAAAGCTAAATAAACTAGATAAGCAAATTTTCAGGATAAATAAATGTATGATGGTGTTAAGTTTCAGTCCAATATGAAAGGTCGTGGATAGGCAGTATCGAGGAGTCTCATACTAGGACAAAACGACGATTTCATGCTTCTAGATTATCAGTATTGGTCTAACTTCTGATTTCAATGAAAATCAACAACCTTCACAACTCAATACTGAAAATTGTTAAATGAAACAAGCAAAAGAAATTTGAAAGTTAAAAATTGAAATAAAATCCCCCCTATATATGACATTCACTAACTAAACGGGTGGAAACAACATTTTAAATATCGTAAAACTATTGAACATTGAAAAAAATCTACAAATTTAAGGTTATGTATTCTATCCTGTAAATAACGATGGGTACTAAGATATATGATTACAATGAATTGAAACTTGGAAAAAAACATAGACGGGAGGGGAGCTGTAAGTATCATCATAATATTTTTTTTTTCATCATATTATTCAAATGATTTTGAAATAATTAACCAGTGTTGTAGTCATGGTAAAAACAAACGCTGTTAAACATTTTTCTCCAGGATACAAGCTCCAATTTTTCGATTCAAATGGCTATTACTTCAACTGTCCAAATGGTTCTTATTTTGACATATTTAGGTAGATAACTGTTAACAGGATATATATAGATATATGACCAATTTGCATTAAATGAGCTAAAACTGAACTGTTATAGACTGCAACAATACCCTTACTCACTTACACTGGGGGGGGAGGATTATTCACGAACAAGAAAGTGAAAACTCTTAGAACATCCACCAATGCAAATCGCTCCACAAAAGCAGTTGAATTGATAAGTATGTATAGGAAGAGGTGACTAGTCCAAGTAATTTATACTTCAATCCTGTAGTAACCATATTTAACAAACTGTTAAAATTAATCAAATACGACCATCGAATCATTTTTTAAAAATCATTTTCTTAGGTAGATAATTCAGCATTGACTGGTGAATCAGAGCCTCAATCACGTACAACAGAGTTCTCTAATGAAAATCCATTAGAAACAAGAAATTTAGCCTTTTTCTCAACTAACGCTGTTGATGGTAAGTTATTGATATTTATTATGATATACTTATCATATTTGAAATTAATTGAATAACTAATTTCTTACACCTACAATATTATGGACGTCCATTTGCTCTAGTATAAGACTTCTTGGCAGTGCACATCCATAATCCCACATGAGGGAATGGGACCTAGGACCTATGTTCTCGCGCGCGAATGCGAGCCGGTTTCCAACATTGTTAATAACTAGCTTTTATCGATTCACGACATTGTGTGACCATCTTTCATTGTCTTTCACACGCAACTGTCTCACACTCCACATCGATTAGTTCTACTAGTCACGGTTTCTCATTGGAACTCCGAAAATTCCCTCTGAAATCTAATCACTAGTGGGTACATGATAATTATCAGTATACGGTTATGGAATTGATTGTCGAGTTTCACTGAATGTTTTAATTTCATCAATACATTTTTACAGAACATTGAAATGATAGTTTAACAATTAGTTAGGAATGTCTAATGATATTACAATTTCATTCTTAATCAAATGAATTAGTGAATATTTATTAAAGTTATACATAAAAGATCTTCTAATTCAATGTATATATATGCACATATTACTTTAATGTTTAGGTACATGCCGTGGTATTGTTATCAGTACAGGTGATCGTACTGTTATGGGTCGTATTGCAAATTTAGCATCTGGTTTAGAACTTGGCGAAACTCCAATACATAAAGAAATAAATCATTTTATTCATTTAATTACAGCTGTTGCAATGGTTCTTGGTGTAACATTCTTTATTATTGCTTTTATATTGGGTTATCGTTGGCTTGAAGCTGTTATCTTCTTAATTGGTATTATTGTAGCTAATGTTCCAGAAGGTCTATTAGCCACGGTTACAGTATGTTTTTATTGATTTATTTTTTTAATTTCACTAAAGTGTTATTCTGTTTTTCTTCTTGGTTTCATAATAGAAATTATTAGTATTTCTGAATTAAAACGTTGAAGATCTTAGGTTATAGTAGAGAACAAATTAATACTTAGAAGTATGGAATAGTTGTTTTATTCAATTATGGGACTCCTCAACAGCGGGCTTCTCCGATACAAAGTAGTATGCACCAATCGAATTACACTTGACGGAGAAGATTTGGAAGATGTAAAAACCTTTACACATTTGGGCAGCATCATTGATGAACATGGTTGATCTGATGCACATGTGAAGGCGCGGATCGGCAAAGCAAGAACAGCATATCTACAATTGGGGAACATCTGGAAATCCAAAACAACTGTCTGTCAACTAATACGAAGGTCAAAATCTTCAATACAAATATCAAGACAGGTCTACTGTATGGAGTGGAATCTTGCAGAACTACGAAAGTTATCACCCAGAACATACAAGTGTTCATTATCATTTGTCGACGCAAAATACTTCGGATCGGTTAGTAAGACACTATCGGCAACAGCCTACTGTGGGAGAGAACAAGCCGGATTCGATTGGAGGAAGAAATCAGGAAGAAACGCTGGAAATGGATAGGATACACGTTGAGGAAGGCACCGAACTGCGTCACAACGGAAGCACTCATCACATGGAATCCTCAATTCCAAATAAGAAGAGGAAGACCAAAGGACACATTACGCTGAGAAATGGAGACAGACATGAGAAGAATGAACATGAATTGGATAGAAGTAGAAAGGAAGTCCGAGGACAGACTGGGTTGAAGAATGCTGTTCGGTGGCCTATGCTCCATTGAGAGTAAGAGGCGAAAGTAAGTAAGTACGTCAACAGTGGACATTCACATCTGAACTCAGGACCTTAATACTTTGCGACGACAGCTTAAGATTTAGACCACTGAGCTGGAATTTAATTGTTTATGTGTTTAATTTCAGTCAATTTGTGATGGCCGAAAACTATCTTTTAATTCGATTGGCAAGTTACCGCCTTATAATCGACATTGATGAACGCTTGGCTCTGGGTTTAACTGCCCATAGGGGTTATCTGTGTCCAATGCTGAGGAGTCCCATAGAAGAACAAACAGTTTTTTATTGATTTCTGGTGTTTAATGGTCATTTAACTAAGATCACTTTGTAATGTAACCTACATGATTCAACTATCTTCCTAAACTACCTTATTATTAGAGATCATATTTCCTGAATTAATCGATAACTTTGAACCGCGACAATTTATATCAGTCAGTTAGCAACAACACAGAACTTCGTACGTTCAGTTCAAGTTGTCATGCCACATTAGCACAGAGATACAATTGTCGTTTCAAATCCCATAGTGGTAGAGGTAGTAAAAATATAAGCAGTAATCGGAAAGATTATGGTTTGAAGATGTTATTCAAGGAGTATAATACATTGAAATAAATTCGAAAAGAGAAACAATAGGGGACATGAAGAATTCAGAAGATTAGAATTTGGATGCACCTTCGCCTTTGCAAACGATTTTGAGCCATGTCATTCAAGGTCATTAACCAGCGGTTGCTATCGCCTCACGGAATGTTATTCATTTAAACAAAATGAACAATAGATCACATTTGAAGTACATGCCACTGAAGTTTTCCAGCAATAAATTACAAAGATGCTACAAATTTCAATTTGATCTTCATCACTTTCCTTAACCTTTAGTTCTTTATAGACTATAACAAGTTTGTCATCGAATCATTCCCTTATAGATACTAATCAGTATATAATATACAAAATTCATTATTATCTTACCTTTTAGGTATGTTTAACATTAACCGCTAAACGTATGGCTAGTAAAAATTGTTTAGTGAAAAATTTAGAAGCTGTTGAAACACTTGGATCAACAAGTACCATTTGTTCAGATAAAACTGGTACATTAACACAAAATCGTATGACTGTAGCACATATGTGGTTTGACAATAAAATATTTGATGCTGATACTACAGAGAATCAAACAGGTAATATTTCATTGCCTATCACCCTTCCGCCTTCCCCCCCCCGTTTTTTTATTTAACGTTCCCAACATTTCAATTTCACTGACTGACCTTAGTTGAACGACTGTTAAGAACTAGAAAGCACTAGACAGGTTTTCCATGGTAATACACTATATATTTCAGCAAGCAAGCATTAAAAAACTCACCTAAGGACTGAACCTAAGACATTTCGGTCTTATCATCAGTGCTTTGTCTTCAGATCAATGGGTCAGCATCCAATTATATTATGTATAAATGAAGAACAAATTAAATAATATTCAAAAACCCTCCAAATTAATCTGAAATTCGTAGAATACCTTCCGACTAGAAAGAATTTACTTAACTGAAAATTGTTTAACTTATATCTAGTTAAAACAATCAAAGTATTAACTCCCGTTTAGAAAAAAGAGATAGATTGTGACAAGCAGTGGAGTTCATGAGATGCTTTATATTCTATTTGAGTCTCTTCAGCAGAAGAAGACATTCACTCACCCGATTAGTCTAAAATAATGAGACTAAACACATATCCTTGATTACATTGCTAGTCACAGTTTATCAAGCATAGGACAAAATAACTATATCGAGACAATTCCCTATAGGATAGTCATATGTTAATCAAGATTAATCAAAGTTTAATCAAAGATATCAATCATGGAATAACTTGAAATCTTTTTTGCAAATTCAATTCAATTCATTTTTAATTTTTGTAATTTATAGGTGCACGTTTTAATAAAAGTTCACCAACATGGACAGCTTTAGCACGTATTGCAATGTTATGTAATCGTGCTGAATTTAAAACTGGTGAAGAAAATAAACCAGTTTTAAAACGTGAATGTAATGGTGATGCTTCAGAGACAGCTATATTAAAATGTACTGAATTATGTGTTGGTAAAGTTATTGAATATAGAGCTAAAAATCGTAAAATTTTGGAAATTCCATTTAATTCTACAAATAAATATCAAGTAAACAATGTTTCTTTTTCGTTTGATACATTTGAAGCATTATTATTATTATTATTATCTGAACATATACATACTGGTACAAAGGGGCACCGAATATACCTGTGCCACACAAATCACTTGATTTATGTCTAGGCTGTGATACTACACGGGTGCTCAAACCGATACATGTGGTTTTCTTAGGAGGCCACACCCTGAGAATTTGACCTAAAAGTCCAATCCACAAGGCAGTGGAGCAATGTTAGGAGATGTAGTTCCATGGTTGCCGGTATCCAACGATTGCTTCATACGCCATTTGTTTATTCAGAATCCTGTAGCCCATGTGCACCATTGTTTTGAAATGAGGGTTTACCAACTTTCCTAGGTGAACTCTCTGTGTCCACGAATCCGGTTAAAGCGCCGGACATTCACATTTCATTCTTTCAATTTCATAAACAACGCATGTGATGCGAGAAGGCAGAGAGTTGTAATACTCTGACAGTGGTTGTATGCACGTGGACATGTGAAAGCGTTTGGAGAGGGAGAGTTGACAATACCCATTCTCGACCGTACTAGGGCATTTAGGGGTTTCTTATAGATACCTTTGAATAAAATACAAATTGTACAGAAAAAATTTTGTGCTGAACTCACCTTTTTTAGTAGAATTATGTCAATTGGTCTAAGTGAATGCATATCATATTCATTAGATTTAAAGTGTAAACAACTGTAAGTTATAAGTAAGAAGCTTTACACTTGCAATTGACAAAGTATTAATTCTATCTTAAAATTGTTTATTATTCGGTATGGGATTAATGTAAATACTTTACTCTTGTCGGGGGTCAATCATAAAGCCAATAAATAAACTCTAACATTCTTAACTGTGGTAATGAGAAATATTCGTTTGCTTTCCATGGTAGCAATCATTTGTTCCAATGAAGTACTTCCAAGACTATTATAAACATCGGAAGCAGAATAGAGATGGAAGTGTGGTGTGCGCCAATGATATTGACAGATATAAGTGGAATGTCTGGAAGTAGAAGGTTGATAAGATTAAAGAGAAGAGAACGAGAACAAAGAGTGATTGAAATGGAAATGATGGAACAAATTTGAAGTCACTAACTTGTAGTCTGAGCCATGTTGGTAGATCCAGACTACTTGGTTGGGGTCCGCGTGACTATCGTAACCAATGGTTGGAGACTCTTGGTGACATGGCTCAGAATCGATCACAATCGTGTAGGTGTATACACTCTCTGTCTTCCCTTAAACTAAGAAATTAAAATCACTTCATATCTTTCTTTCTACGAACCAATTCTTTCTTCTTGTACTATATCTCTATATGCAATCTTTCTCTTATATATTACCACCTTTGACCTAACCACTGCTATGAATCCGGTGTTCATCTTGTTGTGCTGATGCGGTATGGCAACCTGGACCGATGCACATATGTGCCTGGTCCTACGTTGTAGCTGACTGATCTACTGTATGGTTTTCAGATTTTACTAAGAAATTTTATGATTTTGTATTTGAATACATTTGGTTGTCCCCAATTTTGTTCTCATTCATTATAGGAGAATTGTCACAAGTGGATAGTATTCCTTTACTTTAAAATCTATAGTACGTTTTCTTACATTTATTGTTCTAGTACTTACTGGATGAACAATAGAAAAGCTTTATAGTTTAATTTCTTACTGTTTTATTGGATAAATCTATTTTCTGATCATCATAAATTCATATTTAGTTGTCAATTCATGAAACTGACGACAATGATGAACGTTACTTGCTGGTTATGAAAGGTGCACCTGAACGTATTATTGACCGTTGTAGTACTATTCTACTTAATGGTAAAGAAAAACCTCTAAATGATGAAATGCGTGAACGATTCAATAAATCCTACATGAAATTAGGTGGAATGGGTGAACGAGTACTTGGATTCTGTGATTATCGTCTACCAGCTAAAACTTATCCAAAGTGAGTAATGATTATATGAATATTGAGCTAATTTGTTAAATTGTAACCGGTTAAATAAACAGTTTATGTAGTCTCCAATGACTTGTGTTGGCTTATTAGTTTCAATATAAAGTGGAATTTTTACAAAGGAGAAATGTTCGTTTCAAAATCGATTGGGTGTTATCATCAGCCCTTACACAGACTGTATAGTTCTGGATCAAATAAAATAATCTAAATTGGATAAATGAACTACATTGGGAAACTCCTTTGACAATATTGTCTAATGTTAAGTGGTGGGTAAGTTCTGTTTATCCACCTAGTAATTATATCACTGATTCAAATAAATAGACATCCGAGAGATAGTAGATAGGTATGTTAATTTTGTGTTTGTCATCACACATCAGTAAGGCAGTACCTCCATCCATCAACGTACTGATTTTTGCCGTGGAATTCATAACTGTATCATTCATCACTACAGTCGGTGATGCTAACATTGTGCTATTCACACCTATATTTCAGTCTTGAAATGAGCAATACGAAAGAATTATATCATTATTAGTAAGGCTTTCATATATGTTGTTATTGATACCTAATACTGAGTATTGGTTAGTTTCTTTCGGTATACGTACGTCTAATGTAGATTGTCTCGATATAGCCGCTCTGTCACAAATCATGTGAGTAGATGGCTTATAGCTTCTAGTGGAATATAAGACTTATCATCTACGTGTATCTAAAACTAAATGTTAACATCAACCAAATGATGAGTCCCATATAAGATCGAATATGTGTCCTAGTATGCACTGCTGGCCTCAAACCACCTATTCTGAATTTTAGAAGCAATTTATCCTTATCAAAAAGTCTTGTCAAAAAAAATTACAATTAATCCTTTTGTTTGAATTGTCAGTCTAATTACACCTTCTATAAGAAAAAATATATGGAAGTTACCGAATATTTACAAATTCTAGAAAGAACTATGTATGTGAAGTAAATGTCTAATCATGTTAAGATATTAAATAAATATTAATCCAGTCAGTCAGTCAGCTACAAAGTAAGACCAGGCACATATATGCATCTGTCCAAGTTGTCATACCGCATTAACACAACAACATGAACACCAAATACATAGAACTAGTTACTTCAATGATAGTAAGAAAGATTGTGTATAAGGACATAGTACAGGAAGAAAGAATTAGTTTATAGAAAGAAAAGTATAAAGCAATTCAAATCTCACAGTTTAAGGGAAGACAAAGAGTGTGTACATACGCTCAAGCCACTGTGATATATTCTGAGCCATGTCACCAACAGTCTCTAACCATTAGTTACGTTAGTCACCACGGACCCCAACCAACTAGTCCGCATCTACCAACATGGCTTACACCAGAATTTAGTGACTTCAAGCATTGATGCCACGTTTTGGTTTGGCCGCCCCTAACTTTCTTCCAATCATCTCCAACACTAGTCAGAATTGTGCGCCGCGGTAACCGGTGTTCAAGCATGCGAAATATGTGACCCAACCATCTCGTTCGATGAAGATTCACAGTGTCATCAACTGATTTACCATCATCATTCCCTAATACCCTAAGTCTGACCTCACTATTACTTGCCCGATGATCGCAACAGATTCTGGCAATATTTCTAAGGCATCTGTGGTTAAATACTAGTAGCTTACGAGTATATTAATCCATATATAGAGATTGTTGAGGTTTAATTAAGATTGGAAACTGGTCAATGTGCATTGTTGCGGAGTCTCATACTAGGAGGAACCGGCCGTCGAGTACTTTTAGCTTTTCAATGATAGTCTATCATTGGTCGGCTCACGATCTCAATCAAAATACTAATCTGTTAATCTTACATCTCTTTTCAGCTAATATTCTGTGGACAATAAGGAATTAGATTTTAAAAACTATATTTACCATCTTAGTATGATTAAACAATTGTTCGACTTATTACTCTACTGACACTGATGAAAATGTAGAGAAGCTCTAACTAAACTGTCATATAATCGTAATTAAGGTGTTGTAATATTTATTCATTTGTTATTGAATAGAAGTTTTTGAAACCTTTTAAGATTGCAAATTTTAGATTTGCTTCATAGTTTATAATAAAGCCTGACTTTAGTTAGTGAACCGTTGAAAAACAGGAAACATTGGATGGGACTCTTTTAGCAATAGCTATCCAGGAACGCTCTGGAAAACTCAGTACCTTTGAGATGTCATATTAAGTAAATCAGACTTAAACCACTGAGTTAGCATCTATTGATTTACATTTCTAATTATAATTGATTCACGATATTGAACAACCACTTTCAAACTGCCCCACACCTGACATGAGTAAACTTCACTAGTATTGGCTTCTTATTAGAAGTCTGACAGTCAACTCTCGAAGTTGATCACCAGTGATCATATGATCATCACTACTTTAAGGGGGTTTATGGGGATTTTCGCAATTTCATAGTTTGTATCTATTAATTTGGTCACTACTTAATTATACTCACACTTTGAAGCTTATCGCTTTATTTAGGAATTTCAAATTCAATGAAGAAGAACCAAATTTCCCAGTTAGTGGATTACGTTTTGTTGGTCTAATGTCTATGATCGATCCACCTCGTGCGGCAGTACCAGACGCAGTAGCAAAATGTCGATCCGCCGGGATTAAAGTGATCATGGTCACTGGTGATCATCCAATCACAGCGAAAGCTATTGCTAAAGGTGTGGGGATAATTTCGAAAGGTTCAAAAACTGTCGAGGATATTGCAGCTGAAAAAGGCATACCTGTTGAACAAGTAAGTTTATGTGGACAAATATTTTCTAAATAGTAAACATTCATTATTCTACATTGTTTGGTATCATGCCACAAAGAAGAATAGTGAAAATAATGCTTTAGAGTTTTTACAAACAGGAGCCAAGCTGATCGAAGATGTTGTGAAATATATGATCGGGACCAGACACAGCAATGAACCATAAATCCATTGATTATTGATTAAGGTCTTTTAGTGTGTTATAGGATCTTTCGTTTAAATTGGAAGTTATTGGCTGTTGGATTGAGCCATGTTGATATCTACAGACTACGTCTATCAGGTCCGTACGATTGTCAAAGGCGATGATTGAGTACATTATATGATAAAGCTCAGAGTTGGTTACAATGGAGCAGATTACTTTACCCCTTGTCTTCTCATAGATCTTCAATTTTTAAATTATATTATGTCTTCTATTCAATGAATTTATTCCTCCTCTCCGAGTCATACCGTCTATGATGTGTTATACCTCCAGTTTAATAAGTTAAAAGGTTCAGTTCTAATCACTTATTCACAAGTTAATTCACTATTATTCTCTTACTGCGCTCTTGAGCAATCCCATACTATTGTTCACACGTATGTAAGTGTAGATTACCTGATAGTATTCAGTATGACTATTATAACCAATAGTTTTAGACGTCGAATGGTTGTGTATTCGTTCGTTGTTTTTCCTCAGATCGTGAATCCCGAAGTCTTCTTAGACACATCTTCATCATTCTATACCTAAACATTTTCACTATCATTGATACCATTACTAATTCTACTATGAAATTTCTTTTAATAATTTTATCTCAATGTGATAATTCAATGTATCCACGTGAACTAATGCATATATGATACAAAGATTTACGTTACTGATGATACCTGGACGATTGCTTTCTCTTACATTTCCAATTTTATTTGATTTTATCTCTCATTATCTATTTTTTTCATTCTGTTGATTTTTTTCTATTGATACGACGACATGAATTGGGACAACTTGAGTCGATACACATTTAAGTCTTAGTTCGTTATCTATTAACAACAATCAATTATCAGTAGGATGTACCTGCATCTCAAAGTTGATATTCCCTGCATGACTTAAATCCAGAGTGATGGCATTTGAAGCAAACTGAGTTGGGTTAGAGTCTTGAAGTAATCATCGACTTTGAGATGCGGTTAAATCCAGTTGACAAGTCCCAAATAGGACGGAACGTGCGTCTTGGACTCCACTGCTAGCCATCATTCATCTTTGCCTATAAAAAGCTTGTGACTTAAGGCAATATCGAGAACGTCCAAAAAGGATAAAATTACAGTTTAGATAGTTTCAGTAAAAATCATCAGCCAGTAATTTAGTTAAATTTTTTATAAAATAAATTAGGTAACTAGTATAAGGGTTGTGGAGATTATTAAGTTTTTTTATTGAGATCATGAATCGATTGATGTTAGACCACCTTTGGAAACCTGGTTGGTTGATGTTAGACACTATCACCATTGGATGCTGGCTCGGTGGTCCAGTAGGTTAAGCGTTCACGCGCGAAACCGAAGGCCCTGGGTTCAAATCCAGCGAGCGGGATCGTGGATGCGCACTGCTTAGGAGTCCCACAATAGGATGAAACGGTCTTCCAATGCTTCCAGGTTTCCAAAGGTGGTCTAACATCAGTCGGTTCATGATCTCAATCAATTAACTTAGGTAACTTTATTTATGAATTCATTCACTACGGTAAATAGTTATGAATGAATGAATTATTACGTAATCGTTTGTTGTTATTGTTGTGTTTTTGTATTTTCATTGTTAATTAAGATTGACATATTTAACTCATTTTTATATTGTATAAGATAAATTGAAGTTTGTTTACAAGTGGAATAGATTTAATTAAGTAAATAAAATTACACAAGTACTCATTTTTTTACTTTAAAATCAATTACGTAATCCTTTTATGAAACGTTTAATAACATCCAGTTGTTGTTTATCAATGCGCATTGTATAAAACTCCTGAGCCTCATGTAACCATACACATTTTGCTAAGGGTTGAACTAATTATTTTTAAGTCATGTCAGTCAGTCAGTAAGCAACAACGTAGAACTTCGTACGTATGTACATCAGTTCGAGTTGCCACACCACATTAGCACAGAGATGCAGTGCTCGACTCAAACTCCATAGTGGTAGAGGTAGTAAGAGTATAAACAGTAATCGGAAACATTAAAGTTTGAAGATGTTATTCAAGGAGTATAATACAGTGAAATAAATTTGGAAATAGAAGAAAGAAAAAAGACACAAAGAATTCAGCAGATTATAATTAGGGAGAACACAAAGAGTGAGTGCACCAGAGTTATTGCAAATGATTCTGAGCCATGTCACTCAGGGTCCCTAACCGTCGGCTGCTATCATCTCATGGTCCCCAACCAGGTAGTCTACACCTACCTATATGACTCAGTCTACTTGTCAGTGAATTCATGGATTTGTGCCGTTTTGGTCTGGCCGCCCCTAGTTTTCTTCCAATCTACTCCTATACCACTGAACATCGCACATTGAGGCAGTCGGTGGTTGGGCATACGTAACACGTGTCCCAGCCATCTCAATTGATGAAGTTTCACTACTTCATCAATTGATTTGCCATCCTTACCTAGTATCCGTTTCCTAACAACTGTGTTACTTACTCGATGGTCCCAGGATATACGAGCGATCTTTCGAAGACACCTATGATCGAATACTAGTAACCTACAAATATCATCTACTCTTACCGGCCATGTTTCACTGCCATAAAGTAGGACGGAACGAACTGCTGCGCAGTAAGCCCGTCCTTTGGTTGATAGACGGATATCTCGCCTACGCCATAAATGACGCAAGTTGGCGAAAGCTAGTCGAGCCTTCTGTATCCGTGCTCAGATTTCGTCCCACACCAGACCACAAAGGCTGGTGAGACTTCCAAGATAAGTGAGGCGGTCGACCCGTCATGTAGCGATGACTTGACTGTACAATCAGTAAATTCGTGGTCAATGGTTCATATTTCCAATTTAAGATAATTATTGATATTTTACACGATCAATATCAATCTCTACTACGATAAATTTTACTGTCCTAACACCATATGATTATGAATATGTTATTCTACTTTTTCAGTATAGGATTGTGGAGATTGTTGAGTTCAGATTGATATCATGAATGGATAAATGTTACTCCACCATTTAAAACTGGAAGTATTGGGTAGTCGTTTCATCCTAGTATGGGACTCCTCAACAGTGCGAACCCACGACCTCGCACATGTGGCTTAAACCCATTTGAATTCACTATTCATGCTAGGGTACTGTAGTTGAACATTGAAAAAAACTGATTTCAGTCTTTGTTTCTGTAAAAGGTTATTTAAATTATCTCTGAATACCAAGATGACATAGACGGGCTTCTTTGTGCTAAGGCTCTTCAAAACTTCACCAGTTTTTGATGTGAAGAGAAGAAGAATTACGGGCTTCCTTTATTAGATATAAGTAGATATGAAGACCGTCAAATCAAATGATTTATTTTTAGAAAGTCAACTCGGACATGTCAGTACTACAGTTATTATAGTTACTATCCAGTGAAATACAAATTAGGTTTGATAAGGGGCCGACTTAAACAATATTAATCATATTTGCACAAATAACGCTATTTATGACGATGTTAGGTTGTTGAACAAAACACTAATGGGAAACGGTTATTCTTTTTTAGTCATCTATGCAATACTTTTTTGTCAACAATATTACTAAGAAATAAATCAGCATAAACTGAAGAATCACTAATAGCCTTGAATATATGTGTATTTTCTAAATAGCAAAAAACACTTATGATTAAATGCGTGATCAAACCTCAGATTCTCAGATCAATCATCTTATGTGATGATAGACTTATAAATTACGAAATAAATCAATTATGCACATAAGATAATGTTCCGATTTCATCACACGTTGACGAAAATGAAGTGAACCATCTATTTTATACTCTCTGATTATCAATAGTTTTTCAAGTCACTTTAGATCATAACAGAACTCACTCGTTTCCTTAGTCGTTTATTATCAATTACCTAATGTTCACTGTCTTTTGTACATACTTTTTTTTACTTTTAATTTTGTAGGTTAATCCACGTGAAGCTGTTGCTTGTGTAGTACATGGTTCTGATTTACGTGAAATGACTCCAGCACAAATTGATGATATATTAGTTAATCATCCGGAAATTGTATTTGCACGTACTAGTCCACAACAAAAATTAATTATAGTAGAAGGTTGTCAACGTCAAGGAGCGATTGTTTGCTGTAACTGGTGATGGTGTAAATGATAGTCCAGCTTTAAAACAAGCTGATATTGGTAAGTGAAAGTGAATTAATAAACTATCAGTATGAAGTTGTGGAAATTGTTAACTATTTGATTGAGATCATGAATCGATCAATGTCAGACCACCATTGAAAAGCTCAAAGTACTGGATGTACGTTTCGTCCCAGAATATAGGACTCCTCAGCGCGTGAAACCAAAAGTTCTGAGTTTCAATCCTGCTTGAGGGATCGTGGATGCAGACTATTCAATATAGTCAACAATCCACAGTATTCATTAATCAGTATTAGGTTGTGGATACTATTGCGTTCAGAATAGTATCATGAATGGATCAATGTTACATCACTATTGAAAACTTGGAAGCACCGAAAGGTCGTTTCGTCCTGGGGAGTTTCATACTAGAATGAAACGGCCGCTCAGTGCTTCCAGGTTTTCAGTGGCGATATAACATTAATTCATTCATGATACCAATCTAAACTCAACAGTATCCACAATCATGTACTGATTATTATCATGTACTCACTGGTGACTAGCTTCAAGATGGATTTTTTGGAGTTCTAGTGAGAAGCCGTGACTAATAGAGTTTAACCACGTCTGTTGTGAAGCAGTTACCTACTGAAGACAATGGTGGACGGTCGCGCAATATTTCAGATTGGCTGAAGTTAGACATTAACACTGCTGTATGCTGACTCAGTAGTCTACAGGTTAAGTGTAGGTTTAATTTAAAACAAAGCTGCTAAACAGCGTTTCACTTAACGTTTTATACGGTTATCAATCAAAATTTTTTGTTAGTCAAGTATTTAATCAATAAAGTAAAGAAGAAAGACAGATTCTTTGTTCACCTCTGAAGCTGAACAGATGAAATTATGTCGTTCATTAGCTCGAAAGTTATGCTGCACCGAGCTCAGTTCAGAACCATGTATTTCAGTAATTTTATAATTCCTCAAACGGATGAATAGATGGGACGGATTAAAACCTATTGGAGCTATAAACAATAACAATAAATACACTTACAGATGATAGACGAATGAAGAGATAGTAATGTCGAAATCAATTAATATGAGTGACAAAATGAAATGATAAAGAGCATTACGCTGACAGTTTATCTTTGGGAACGTTAGTTATGTAAACTGCATCAATGATAGTAATAATAACGGTAGTAACAATAATAACAGTTGTTATTATTATTATTTCTATTATAAGTTATTTGGCACAAGGCTATTGATGTGGAACCTTGAACGTACGTTTTACATTAGGTAGCACTTATCAGCAAGGCTTATCTCCAGATGATTACTCATTTATTCAAATTATAGCTGACATAATCTGAGATTGAGATGTTTACATTAGGCGATCACGGAATAGTAAAAAAATGTTATTTTTGTTATGGCTTGTATAAGGATCATTACTATCATCAGTTCTGCTATGATTGGATGTTATGACATTTGGATGAAGTGCTTCACTGAATGTCATATATCTTTAGATTTATATTGTTTATTGATTTCTATTGAGGCACCATATATGTGCCTAGTCCTAAGTTGTAGTTGACTGTTTGACTAAGTGACCATAAAAAATCAGACAAGACTGAACAACTTTCAACCCAAACTCTACAATACTCATCCAACTAAACTATAATGATCTACTTCTGATTAATGTTTAGGAATTCCTTTAGTTCTAAAATAAAGTCGTAACCATTAGAATGCAGGCATGTTGGGAATGAAATAACTGTTACTATTCGATGAAATAATCGTCACTCTATATCGTTAGTTAATTGAATGTGGTCGTATGCCATTGAACTCTGACTCAACGATTCTAACATCATTAAAAAAAATACTACCGACAAATTAAAGCCAACTCTACTAAACCTCTTCAGCTCAATCTATTCACGATAAATATAATTTTAAAAAACTAAGGCCTCTGCATCAGTAGACCTCAGTATACACGAAAGAAAAATCAAGATCTTCAAATACAATACGGAAAACACCAGCCCAACCGCACATGATAGACAAACTCTGAAAGATGTTGAGTCTATCACCTGCCTGGAAGGCATCATCGATGAACAAGGAAGATCTGATGTAGATATAAAGACGAGGATTTCAAAGCAAGAACCACATTCCTACAATTCAAGAGCATATGGGACTCAAAACAACTTTCAACCAATATCAAAGTGAGAATCTCCAATACGAATGTCAAGACAGTCCTACTACATGGAAATGAAATGTGGAGAATTACTACAACCATCACTAAGAAGGTACAAGTATTTATAAAAAGTTGTCTACATAAGATACTCAACATCCTTTGGTCGGATACCGTCAGCAACAGCCTTCTGTGGGAGAGAACAAATCAGCTTCCAGCCGAAGAGGAAATTAGGAAAAGACGATGGAAATGGATAGGACATACATTGAGGAAATCATCAAACTACATCATGAAGCAAGCTCTAATTTGGAATCTTGCAGGGAAACGAAAAAGAGGAAGGCCAAAGAACACATTACATCAGGAAATAGAAGCAGATATAAAAAAGATAAATAACAAATGGAAAGGAATGCCCATGACAGGGTTGGATGTAGAGTGTTGATGGGCGGCGGCTATACTTTTCGACAAGTAGTAACAGGCATAAATAAGATCTATGTTTGAAATCCTCCCTACGAAATTTAAAACAATCATGAAAATGTATATTTATATTTATGAATATAGATAGCTAAATATTTATCAGAAGGGTCTTTGTGGAGATTTTAGAAATGTCACTGATTGGAATCATGAGTCAATTGAAGCTAGACCACCATGGAAACCTAGAAGCACAGGATGGCCGTTTCGTCCCAATATGGGACTCCTCAGCAGCGCGCATCCACGACCCGCATCACGCGGAATTCGAATCCAGGACCTATCATTCTCGCGCCAGGTGCTTAACCAACTAGACCACTGAGCCGTTATCCGACGGTGTTAATGTCTTACTTCCAGTGCTTCTAGGTTTTCCATGGTGGTCTAGCTTCAATTGACTCATGATTTCAATCAGCTAAATATTTGTTTATTTAAAGTAGTATAAGTTGAAAAGAAAATAACTTAAAACTTTATCTAAACAAGAGTTTGTTTATTTTATTAATGATAATTAATACATAATACAAAACATGTGATGAATAGTTCATTAACCCTAATACATACAAGTAAGTGATTAGTGTTGTTGCTGTTGTCGCTGTGGTAACTGTTGTTGTTGTTGTAGTCAATAGTACTTTATATGATAATACTTAATCTTACTAAACATCAATTAGTAAATGACACGTATACTAATATGTTATCTCTCTTTCTTAGTAACTAATGATGAACATAATTTCTAGACGGTAATTATGTGATATAACAGTGATGTTAAGTCGATGGAGTGGCCGAGTGGTCTAAGGAAGGCACTAGTTTTAAGCACAGTGATGTTAAGACAGCTAATTTATTTATTAGGATCAAAAGATGCTAATAAATTGCTATAAAGAAATTAACATTGAGGTTTAGGGATAGAATTTAGAATCAAACATTAGAATAGAGGTATTCATCATGAATGGATATCAATTATAACATCAAAATGTTATTGAATTATATGAATTAATGAATTTCGTGCTGAAATTCAAGAGTTGTTAACATCGGGTAAAGACAGTTATCTAACTCAGTACAATAAGATGGTCACGTAATTTCGTGGATCAGTTAAGGTTAAACATCAACACTGTTGGATGCAGGGTCAGTGATTTAGAAACTAAGCGTTCGCGCGCAAGAACGATAGGTCCTGTGTTTGAACCCCGCAGGCGGGATCGTGTATGCGCACTGATGAGGAGTCCCATAATAGGACGAAACGGCCATCCAGTACTTTCAGGTTTTCCATGGTGATCTAGTATTTAATTGATTCATGATCTTAATCAAAAACTTAATAATCTCCACAAATCTATACTGATAATTTCATTGTTTTGTACATAAATTGAAATTTCACCGAATGCATCACAGAGAAAGTCTTCAAAAGTTAAGAGATTACTGAAAATACTTTGATAAATCATTGTCTTTTGGAAACTTTGAAAATAAATTCATAAAATTATGAATTCAAATTTGATTATCCTGTCTGAATTATTATCGATTTTTTAACACTATTCCGTACCCCACTTCTGTTAAACTGTTCGTTTAAATATTGACGAATATGCGTACAAATCTTTTCAACAGTCTTAGTATGGTTTGCAAAAACTTCTTGATTGTCAAGATCACATTACTTACTTACTTATTAACGCCTGTTACTCCAACGGAGTATAGGCCGACGACTAGCATTCTCCAACCTATTCTGTCCTGAGCCTTCCTTTCTAGTTCTATCCAAGTTTGGTTTGGATTATTTTTTCTGGTTAGCGTTGTTTTAGTGGGTTAGTTTTCTACGAGACGGGGTCGCTAACCCCATGCCCTTTATTTGGGCTTAAGACCGACAGCAGCCTAAGGGGGGCTCCATGAGCAAAATACTTCCGATCCGTTGGCCAGACACTATCAACAACAACCTACTGTAGAAAAAGACAAACCACATTCCAGCGGAGGAAGAAATCAGAAATAATCCCTGGAAGTAGACAGTATATATATTGAGGAAAGCACCCAAATGCGTCACAACGCAAGCACTCATCACATGGAATCCTCAAGGTCAAAGGAGGAGAGGAAAACCAAATAACACATTACTCCGAGAAATGGAAACAGATATGAAAAGAATGAACAAGAATTGGATAGGACGAGAAAGGAAGACCCAGGACAGAGTAGGTTGGAGAATGTTGGTCAGTGGCCTATGCTTCATTGGCGAGTAACAGCTCTAAGTAAGTGAGTTAGGAAGTAAGATTACCAGGCGAAACGTTGGATTTACTTCAATTACATTCTTCCTCTTTAATATTATTTAATAATTAACAGTGTCATTGTCACATCGAGTGTACCTGTTAGCCTAAAAATCTAATTTGCAGATATTTCAATCTTAAGCCAACACATTCCATTCAATATAATAAACAAAACATTTGTAAAATCGCTCACTCCTTATTTCTTTCTTTGAATTTCTTTTTTTTGTGTTCACAAGGTGTTGCAATGGGTATAGCCGGTAGTGATGTAAGTAAACAAGCAGCGGATATGATTTTATTAGATGATAATTTTGCTTCAATTGTTACAGGAGTTGAAGAAGGTCGTCTTATATTTGATAATTTGAAAAAATCCATTGCATATACATTAACATCGAATATACCAGAGATTACACCATTTCTAGTGTACATTGGATTTGGTTTACCATTACCATTAGGTACAATTACAATTCTATGTATTGATTTAGGTACTGATATGGTAAGTAATGTTCTCTATTTCATGAAAATATATAATTGATTCTTTTTAAATGACCATAGGGTTTTAATAGATACTGTAAGATTGGCGAATTGATCATCATTGATAACCAAAATGCAACTGACAGTTGTTTCATCTTAGCATAAGACTATTTATCTGTAGCTATTCACGACAGTCAAATTTGAAGTCTCAGATCACTAACTGACAATTAGTTCCAACTGTTTTCTAGCTAAAGTTACTTTATGATATGAAACTTTAAGCCAAACAATTTCAACAATACTCGATAGCAACAACCATCTCGTAATTGCTAGTGACTAACTTAGACGAGTAAGTCTTGGTGTTCTACTCAAAAGCTTTAATTAATGGAATGTAACCATGTAAAAATATGAAACAAATATCATAAATGACAATCAGTGATACTTTTGCAATCTCAACAGTTCATTGGGCTTAAACCGTTGGGTAATAACTTATTTATCTGGAGATCAAATGTTCACTGAGATACCTGACGTTTCTAAGGTCGACTTAAGGTCAAGTATTGGATATGTACTGTTAAAAAGTCCTCTATTAGAATAAAGTAACTGTTCAGTGCCTTCTTATTTTCAGTAGTTGTCTAATCAAAATATTATTGTAAAATATGTTATTTTCAGTATACCGTTTGAGCGCTAACTACTGGGCTATAGATCTCGCAGTGAGCGAGGTCGTGAATGCGCACTGCTCAGTAGTCCCACAATAGGGCAAAACGGCCGTCCAATACTTCCAGATTTTCCATGTTGGTCTGGCTTCAATTGACTCAGGATCTTAACCATTGAAGTTAATATAGATAATATTGACCTATAACAGTTATGGAAATGATATAAAGTGGTTATCTGGTTTCATCTAACTATTAATCTATCATACAATAATTGTTGCCTAACAACTGATGAACTACATTTTGAAAATTTCCATATAGAATTAATATAAAAAGTTTCCTAGTAATACAATGAGTTAACTGTTATATCCCGATGAGAAAAATGAATGGTAATTGCTGGGATCTATTTGTGGACAAATACTATACGTATATTTATATTGCATAGTTGTTAAGTAGCTGTTCTATGCACATTCATGTTTCTCTTATTATAAGCTCTATTTCAACCTATGAACTGTTATTATACGATTTACCATTCTTGAATTATGCCCTGTCTATTAATTAAAATCTCCAACATTTACAGTCACATTTGGCTAAATCTTGTACAAATGTGTTTACTATTTTATCGTACGATGTGGTCTGTTTGATTGGTATATAAACCCAGTATGGTTGAAATACATGATTCATATTGCAGAGGTTGAGATTGGTGTTCTGGATTCGAACAGGAAGACAGGGATAGGCAGGAAGAAGGACCGATAAAGACTCTAGACTGCTCATATGGGTTTTGGCGTCGTTAACCCATTTGATAAATCACTGTTTTCTAAATGGCGGCATCATTGCGTTACACAGTGATAGGGACACTGTTCACAAGTTATAACATTAATCAAACCATAATTCAACATTCAATTCAGTATTTTTTTAAAATATTTTTCTCATAGATTCCAGCAATTTCATTAGCTTATGAAGAAGCTGAATCAGATATTATGAAACGTATGCCACGTGATCCATTACATGATCGTTTAGTAAATGAACGTTTAATTGCTATGGCTTATGGTCAAATTGGAATGATACAAGCACTTGGTGGTTTCTTTGTTTATTTTGTTATTATGGCTGAAAATGGTTTTTGGCCAAGTAGATTAGTTGGTATACGTAAAGAATGGGATTCACGAGCTGTAGATGCATTAAGTGATTCATATGGTCAAGAATGGGTAAATAGTATTCTTTTATGTTTATTATAAATTGATATGTTTCTAAATAAAGGTGTACCTTTAATTGTACCATACAATCAATCAATTGGTACAAAAAGGGGCACCGAATACATATATGTCACACAATTATTTTATTGGAATATGTGCATACTGTGCGTATTGCCTTGATATTGCCATAATTCACAAGCATTCTAAGCAAAGATGCATAGTTAGATGGTGGTTGGAGGTAGTCGACAGGAAACCCTGGACCCGGGTTTTGTGCTACTTGGCACTCGTCAGCAAGATGTACCTGTAATCTTGAGAGAACTGGCGCTCCCTGGCGGATTCGATCTCATGTCACCCAGCTTCACAGTCAGAGACGTTACCACTGAGCTATCTGGGCCGCGACCGACCTCCTGTAGGACTGAGATGTAATCACAATTGATTGATCACTGGGTGGTGGCCGCATTGCAACATGATCGATAGCACTCGATCTGCACTAATAAGGACTAGACACGCATGACATTGATCACCACCCAGAGATCAATCAATTGTGAAAGATGGATAGTGGCTAGCAGTGGAATTCAAAATGTGCAATTCGTTCTGTTTGGGACTCGTCAGCTGGATTGTTCAATAAGATTATTCAAACTATGTAGCAGAATGAATTAAAATCTAGAGTAAATAACAAGCATTTATCTTATTAACTTACAGATTAATAATGCTAATATCTAACTAACAGAAAAAAAATATTCCGAATTCCATTATGGATAAAGTATAAAAGGTAGTTGAAGACTACCAAAGATGAGTTTTAGCCGGTTGTTAGACAATCAGAAAACGGAATGATGAGACTGTAATTTAAGGACGAAACAATAAGATTTATGATAACATGTTTTGGATTTCGATGAGAAGTTCATTCATCCATTTAGTTAAATAGAGTTTTGGCATTATAGTTTATGTCAGTTCGTGATGAAAATGTCAAATCTAATTCATCACACTAGTTGATAACCCTCATTTAACACTAATAAGTAGATGGACATTTTTTAAAGCCACTTTGACATCGCTCTCAGGTTGTACATAAATTACAGTCTCACAAACGAATCTATTAAAGTCTTCTATGAATTGTTATTTGAAGAGATGGAATCGATCTCCGACTTGTACATCATCTACATTATTATTTTTATAATGATACAATGGTATACAACGGTATTTCTGCCGGTCACTTTACATGATATAATATGAAGTCTATCCATTTTAAAAAATTTTATTCAAGAAATAAAATTTCACGCACTTAATTCTGATTACCTTATCCCTACGCTACACTTTCATCAATACGAGATTGTGGATCATGAATCAATTAATGTTACACTATCACTGAAAACCTGGAAGCACTGGACGACCGACTTGTCCTAGTATGGGACTGCTAAACAGTGAGCATTCACGACAACACACGCAAGACTCGAACCAGGACTTTTGGTCTCGCGCACAAAAACTTAACGTCTAGACCAATAAGTCGGCCTCCCTAAACAATAAAGGTAAACGAATTTTAGTCTTTTTCATCGGTCCTCAATCAATCCAAATTGTATTCTTGAATAGCAACATGATATCTTAAACAAGCAACGGATCGATCGAAGGGAGCGGGAAACATCTTTACCTGTTATGAAAGTATAAAACATGTAAATATTAGAACTATGAGTGGTACATCTAGTTTTTATGAAGGTAATGATACCTAATAGTTAGATTATTTAGTAATTCGTTCTTTTTGTATTTCATCTTATTAGTTTCTTTCTCTCTTTCTCTTTTCCCATCTCTTCTTACAGACTTATAAACAACGTAAACGTTTAGAGTCCACATGTCAAACTGCATTTTTTGCATCAATTGTCATAGTACAATGGGCTGATTTAATTATTTGTAAAACACGTCGTAATTCAGTAATACAACAAGGAATGTGGAATAAATATTTAAATTTTGCATTATTCTTTGAAACTGCATTAGCAATCTTCTTATCCTATTGTCCTGGTTTAGATAAAGGTCTACGTATGATGCCTTTAAGGTAATTTCTATTAAATTTATAAATGTTATATTTTCTTTTGTTGAAGTAGGAGGAAAGAGAATTGAACCAGACTATAATTTATGGATGAACTAATCAGGTATAAGATAACAGATCTGGGATTTTAGCCCGAAATTCACTTATCCATTTGGTTAAAGAATGTTTTGGCATTATAACTGATGTCAACACGTGATGGGAAACGATAGATCTAATCCCTAACCCTAACCATCAACTGTAAATCATAATTCCAATTCCTCATATGGGTTTATAACCCTTATATGGTCCTAGTTATTAAGTGAACACTTTCAATGTTAGTGTGGTCGTCCATAGATTATAGTTTCGCCGGAGAATTGTAAGAGAATGTAATGTAATTGATAGTATTACCTAATCGTTTAACCTTAATGACGTTTTAATTGTTAATAGGCCAGTATTTCAAATGTATTTCAACGTAAACAATAAACTAATGGATAAGTATGTAAGCTACAACTTCTCCTATCACCACCACCACTACTACTGCTTCTACTAATAGGAGTGTGTGTAGTAGTAGTGGAAGCAGTAGTAGTGGTGGTGTAATGAACAAGAACACGAGCGGGTATCTCATTAAAATCTGAGAACCGTAAAGTAAATCCTTAATTTGCAAAATATCAATCCATCATATCAAACTTGGCTGTTCCTGTTGCAAACATCAAACCACTGTCTCAGATTTCATTGTTCATGCATTTTCATACCAATTGCGTTCCGTTCCGTTCCTGTTCTTTCCTCATCAACCTTCTATTGAAATACATTCTATGCCTGATCATAGTTATATACTACTTGCATGGATATAAGTAATCCACACCACAGTAGTATCATCAAAAAGTCCTATTATACGAAGAAGAATCATCTATGATCATAATCTATCAGATGATTACTGATCAAAAAATAAGCAGAAATATTGAATTCATTCAATATAAGAAAGATGAGTTCGTGAACTCATGACATGAAACATTTCATTTCAATTATAATTACAATCCGATTATGAATAATACTCGGTTTATTTATTTGTTATATTATTAGATATACATGGTGGCTTCCAGCATTACCATTTTCCATATTAATTTTTGCTTATGATGAAACAAGAAAATATTTAATTCGACGATTTCCTGGTTCATGGATAGAAAAAGAAACTTATTACTAGAGATACTACTAATAACAATACTACTACTCATAATAATAATTGGATTCCCTATTCCTTATATTATTCATATACTTGTTAACAATATACTGGAAAACACTTAGATTATCTACTTTATAAACAAAATCCTGAACATAATCAGTACATATAATATGATGGTTTAATTCTTTACTCTTCAATTATTCCTTCTTTATTCTCTTACTTTATGGTTATATGTGTTAAACCTCTTTCTCTTCATCTTCTTCTTCTTTCTTTCTATAAGTGTATGATTGTTACTAACCAGTAGTTTCTAACTGGTATTGATTTGTTTCTTCTTTTTTGGTTTTTCTCGTTTTTTTCCCCCTATGTATTTCAAAAATGTTACTTTATACAGACGACAAATATATATATAAATATAAGAGTTATAAATATAGATACTTCTATACTTGAGATTGTTTTTCGAGTTTGTTTTTTTTTGCTAAACCAATTACATTATTAATATTTACACTTAATGGGTAAGTCATACATGTGAAAGTATTATTTCTTTTATCAAGGATTTCATTCGAAGCTTCAACGTTCTATATATATATATATATATATATATATATATATATATATATATATATATATATATATATATATATATATATATATATATATATATATATATATATATATATATATTGAGTTAATTAAAGTTAAACAACTATGGAAAACCTGATAGTACTGGATGACTGTTTCGTCCTAATATGGGACTCTTCAGTAGAGGTGCTCATTCACGATGACTTAAGTAGGATTCAAATGAAGAACATTCGCTTTCGCGCATGAATGCTTAATCTCTAGACCAGTGAGGCGGGATTCAACTCTGTTACTATCTAACTTCAAACAATGCATGAAAATGCACCAACGTCTAATATCGTCTTCAGTGAGTTAATGTCTCACTCTACTGGTCACAGCTGATATGAACACATCCTCAGTAAACAAAATCGTACTTTTAAATTGTTGTACTCATTCAATTAACTGAACATTGATGCATTCGAAAAATGCTTGTAAACAAGTGATACAAAATACCTAGTGATCTGTAATAATTGGACGAGCTACAAATTACTAGTAATTACTATTTACTCACTTATTTACGCCTGTTACTCCTCGTGAAGGAGCATGGGCCGCTCACCAGCATTCTCCATTCAACCCTGTCCTGGACAATCCTTTCCAGCTCGTTCCAGTTGTTATTCATCCTTTTCACATATCTGCTTCTATTTCTCGACGTAATGTGTTCTTTGTATCTTCCTCTTTTCCTCTTCACTTCAGGATTCCAAGTTAGGGCTTGCCTTGTGATCCAGTTTGATGATTGGCGTTTAGAAGAACTATTAATTACTAAGTGACAAGTATAAAAGAATGAATGATGATATGATGATTTAAGAATTTACAATGAATATCATTATGAATTCTCCTTGTCTCTTTTTTCTCTTTCCAAATTTATTTCACTGAATTATACTCTTTAAATAACATCTTCAAACCCTAATCTTTGAATCGACAACTGCATCTCTGTGCTAATGTGGTATGGCAACTCGAACTGATGTACGTACGTACGAAGTTCTGTGTTGTTGCTGACTGACTGACTGATCTTTATGTCTGAATTTCAGTCAATTTTGTTTGGGATAAGTGAAACTTGTGATGTTTGTTGTAATACTATTTTTAACAAGTTTTTATGAGACATATTGATTATGGGCTAACTGAATAGTTGAGTAGACAATGCGTTTAAGGTTTAAAATGAAAGTTAATAAGTTCAGTGCTTGAAATAAACATCAATACGAAGATCCACTTACATTCAACTGATGAATCTCAAGTAAGATGAAATAAGCGTTCTGGGTTCCAATATTTCGAGTTAAAGTTAATTTATGAACATCTTCATCATAATTTTAAACCTTAATCTACTTCTTACGTAAGTCTTAATTCATTTTTAACTCTAATAAGCATTAAAGAGAAATATAACTCCATCTATTATTACCTTCAAAGTTATTTACCGATAAACTAACATTTGATAGGTGGTACTTAATGATCATTTTCTGATCTTACACTGATTAATTGATATATTCTGTTGATGTTTATTCCATAACTTTGAAGCTGTTTCTTTCTTTTCTAAATTCTAACTAGTTTGACATTATCATCTTTAGATGCGAACACATGACATTGTCTCCTTTTTACTAATAGTTACTAACGACAATCATTCACAACAGCTGATCATCACCATCATTATCACCAAATATATAAACAAAATAAAACACCAGTGATCTATATAAAAGGTAAGGACTTGTTTGTTTGTTTTCGTTTCAGTCGTGAAAAATGAGAAACAACGTTTTAAAGAAGGAAAGAAAATTTATATTGTAATTCATTTTAAATTGGCCGGATTTGGTTCAAACAAGGTCACTATTTCAATGCTTGAGATCATGAGTCAATTAAAGCTAGACCGCCATGGAAAACCTAAAAGTACTGGACGGCCGTTTCGTCCTATTGTGAGACTCCTCAGCATTTCACATTCACGATCCTGTCTCGTGAGATTCGAACCCAAGATCTATCAGTCTCGCGCGCGAGTGCGTAACCATTAGACCACTCAGCTGACCAGCATCCAACGGTGTTAACGTTTAATTGAGCGACACATCTATCATTGTCCCGGTTGAACTGCACTGTCAATATTATTTGGAGAATGTTTGGAATATATGGAGATCACCGCAAAAACATTTTCGTTCTATATGTAACTTTGTTTCTGTGAGAAGTGAAAAAAATGTATTACCAGGGACTGAATCCAAGACACAAAATTTTTCGATTTAATTACAGACCATGAGGTTAAAATCTAAGAAGTTTACATTTTAACTAATCAAGTAATTCGTCATCCGTGCATGTCTGTACTGTAGTTTCAATTCATGAAACCCGGTGACCTAGGCTTATATGTCACAAGGAGTACCAGTTCTCTCAAGATTCCAAGTAGGAGTTGCTGAAAAGTCTTATCTAGGATGAAATCTGGATCGATGGTTACGTACTAACTACCTTTAACTAACCATCAGTTCACACTTTCAAATCCAACCAACCTGTGATATATATGCAAAGTACTCACCATTCAACGTTATCAATGTGTATATATGTTACTATCTCACTTTCATACTGATTAAGTTCCATCAATTTCTTACTTCAATGAGATAGAAAAGTAAAGAAAACACTTAGAATACAAGTATTCATTGTCATTTTCTCTTTCATTAAAACTGTTTCAAAGGAATATCGTATGGATTTATTCATCAGTGAATGTTTCTAAATCAATAATTATAGGTCACTATTAGACGTTTAAAATTTAGATTGGAATGATCTGCATAAACAAAACATTAAATTAAATGAATACCTTCTGACATTACCTGGTAGTACAATAGAATTGTCTCTTCGAATAAAGCTAAAGTGTAAAATAAAAAAGAATTTCATCATTGGATTCATGAGTCAATTAAAGCTAAACAACTATGGAAAAGCTGGTGATATGCTTGAATGCTATTACGAGTTCACTTTACTCGGTAAACGGAATGAAAGTCAAAGGTACAATGATACGATAGGCTATTCTAATCCGTTATCCCTGAACCTGCTAATTAGATCAAGTAGTCTTGATGAGGCATAGAGACTGTATTCTACAAGCACTCAGAACATACGAAATCACTAAGCACACAAATCAAACTTATTTATACAATGATAGAAACGCCCTTGGGAGAGCCATAAAATAGAGTAGTAAAAAAAATCGTCAATCAATGACAGTTAAGGATTTCCAAGTGGGAAATGTAAGCTGTAGGTCAACTAAGCGTTTCTTGGCACGAAAAGATAAAATTCAAATTTTCAGAATAAAATTACAAAATTAAGACCTTTTCCCAGTGAATTCTAGGGATCTAACATCCTCAACACCTGGAAGCATTACACAGCTGTTTCATTCTAATATGGAACTCCTTAGTGGCAGAGCTCATTTACAATCCTTCATGTGGGATTCAAATGAAGGATATTCGGTCGCACGCGCCGAACGCTTAACATGTAGACCACTGAGTCAGAATCCAAAAGTGTTAATATGTTTAACTGTAGCTCTCCAGTTCTTTCAATTTTTCTATGGTAATCTAGCTTTAATCGATTCATGAACTCAACTATTAAACGTATTACAATCTCTATAATATCCCTATTCTGATTTTTTTTTAAAAGAATTACAGTAAGAAGTCATGGGGAATAAAGTTCAACCAAATCAAAATATTATACCAAAATTATCTATAAACCATTAGATATTGTTTCAATGGTTTAATGGCTTAATAATCATTACAGGCTTTTAATGATCTTGAGTGCCCCTGATCCTACGTTGTAGCTGACTGACTGACTGACTGACTGACTGACTGATAGGCGTTTAGTTCGTAGATACAAGAAATCATCTTTGATGGAGACATGTATACTCAATACCTCTACTTCTCATGTAAAAAAAACAAGTCACTTTTTTGTTTTCAAATTGATGTAAAAAAGTAAAAGAACATAATACATTATTCTTTGATTAATCTATTGAAGAAGTGTTGTTTTGAAGGATACCAAATCTTGATAATAAAAAACAAAACAAAACAAATACTGTACTCTATATATGCAAATACACATATAATAATATATGTAGATATAATTATGACAGAAAGAATTTGATCATTCAGATACATAGATACATAGATATTCATTTATGATATAATTAATAGTAACTAATGTCTTCTGGTATCATCATTCTATCTGATGGTCACATGCTTCCATCTATGACGTTAGTTATTATTGTACACGTGTGTATGTGTGAGTGAGTGTGTGTGCGGGTTTGTTCGTTTCTCAGTGAAAATACAGCAACAGCAGCACCACCACCACCAACAACAACAACAATAACCACATTGAGATATAAGTCATTATTAGATATAATAAACTGTAATATTGTACAACTATGTACTCTGGCATTCATACACACACACACACACCTTCACACATAA